GGAGGACTCCACAACCATCTAGTGGAGGAGGAGGACTTCACGTCTCGTGAAGAACTCTAAGCGCTGCGGAGCCTAACGGACCCAGCGTGTGCCCTTAAGAAGGCTATAGGGGTCTGATCAACCTCTGGCCTCTCCCCGTCGCCGAGCGCGATCCCTCGACAAACCCCTTCCCTGCGCGCAAGTTCCACGGAGCCTAGCAAGCTTCGTGTGTGTGTGTGTGTGTGTATCCAGAGCTCTGTCCGAGTTATTTCAAGAGGCTCGAGTTTTCTGTGGGTCTTGTTTGAGTTTGTGTTGTGGAGCCTAGCAAACTCCACGTGTCTGTCTGTAACTGCAACGCAAGCAAGTTTTTCCTGCCTGCACCACGACCATCTACAGTGTAAGTAAAATAATCTTTAATCAACCGCTATGCGTCCGTGCCTAATTCTAGTCCACTGGCCTGCATTCCCCGACCTGCGTGCCAGGGCTGCTGGCCACAGCCTGCTGCGCGCCCCTGAGGGCCTCAGACCGCTCCCGGCACGCACGGGTACAAGCAGTTGTCTTGGACTACTGCCTGAGGGGAAAAGTGAAGGGATATTGCGTTTTTTTTTCTCAGGAGAAGGCCTTTGTCCCTGCATCATACAGATATTCACACCGATTTTTGTCCTGCTTCAAGTACCTATGAAGTATGCTGGATAAAATACGCTAACAGTTGTCAGGGTATATGGGTTGTGGTGATGGTTGTTTTGGTGGTTTTTAATTCCAGGACATAACTGTAAGTTAGTTGTAGCTCATTTAACTTTAATTGTGGTTCATTCTAGGGAAAAGGCCGTAAGGCTATGTGCATTCCTTGCCTACCTAATGACAGAAGCAGCAATGCAGCTTAGAAGGGTGTAAAAAGGGTTGTGCAGATCATATCAAGTTGGGATCAGTCAGGACCACCTCAAAGTGCATTTACTGCCTTGAAGGCTATCATTGACAGTGACTGAGAGTGCAGACAGAAGTGACATTTGTTGCATAGAGCACTTTTCAGGAGCTGACTACAGTCATACTGTGACACCTTGTGCATGGCTGCAGAGCATTTTAAGTGGCTGATTAACCCTCATCAAATAAGGGATCAGATGAAGGTGCTCCACTTTGACCCTATGCAACAGAGCACCTACACATATGCTGGATGCCTGTTCTGACGTGTGCTAATTAGCACATGTCAGAGCAGCCTGATGCCAGCAGCCTCTGTCATGTATGTTCAGTGTCCCTGCTTTTCAAAATGGTGCTGGGTGTGTTTTAACTAAACCTTGTCAAATGAGTTTTAGTTAAAGTTCCCTTGACACCATTTTGAAGTGTGGGACACTGAATACATGTGATGCTGTGTGTGTTTTAATTAGAGCAGGTCCCAAGAGCCGCTCTAAAGTGTCTTCTCTCTCCCTCCACCCCAGAGCACTAGTAAAGATGCCTAGAAGTTCCTGAAGCTGCTCCAATCTGTGATTGGGGCTAGGCTGATGCAGCCTGTGCTGTGTTCAGGAAGGGAGAGGGAATAAGCTTGCAGGCTTGGGTTTGCCTGGCCTGAGCTGCGGGGAGGGGGTGGGGTCAAGATAGATTAGAGCCTCCCTGCAATGTGGGCCATCTTCCCCACCCCCCTCCCCACACCGGCCTGCTTGCCCAGCCTGCAGCTTGCTCCCCCTCCCTTCTTGCAGGTAGCATGTGGGGGTGGGGGCTGCAGGCTGGATCTTTGGGTTCGATCAGCTCCAAAGTAGAGCTCTTTATCTTTTTTTTTCTTCTCTTCTCCCCTCTCACCGACCTAACAAGTAAACATCTGTTGGGATGGGGCGCTCTACCTTGTGGTGCTTTATATAAAGTGCCATGAGTTAGTGGGGGGGCTGCATGTCTGTCAGCATCCAAAGTAACTGGCAATCTCTATTGATGTTTCTGGTTTGATCTTCCAAATGCTGATGGGGGAGGGAGGAGGTGCAGTTGATCCCAATTTGTGTTAACTCCTCCAGAACTTTAGCTTAAAGAAAAAAAGTTTTGAAACTCTTACGTCTTTAAATTGTGGGAACCCTCTTATTTCCAGATATTGGGAGGAAATTTTGGCTTTTTAAAATGGTAATTAAATTATTAACTGCCTGAACACTTGTACCCATTCTGAGCACATACTGACAAATGTGAAATGTTTAGTCATGGGACTCTGCCATCCTTTTTTAACACCTTCTAGTCTAGGGCTACTGGAGATTTAAGCTGTTTCAGGACTAGGTTAGGTCTGTACCTGCCCTGTGCACAGATCTGGGGGGTATGGATTCCCTTTGCCTGCCTGGGAGTGTGCACACAGGTGGGGACCTGGCCCCACCCCAGCTTGAACCCATGGGGGCGGGGAGCCAGGCTCTGCTCTGCTGCAGCAGCCACCTCCTCATGGATGGCAGCCGGGATTTGGGTGCTGCTGCAGGGGGCTGCTGACCTAAGCCACATTTTTCCCCCCTGATCTGTACTGATTCGGGGGTGGGCGGGAACAGACCTCACTTGGTATTTGTGTCAATACAATAACTAATTCTTTTTCTATGTTTTCTTTTCTAGCTTTATACTCGGTCATCCTATTCTGTGTTTTCTTGTGGATCCCTTTTGTCTACTTTTATTATGAGGAGAAGGCAGAAGATGATAGCAACACATGTTCAGTAAGTTTTTTTTTTTTTTTTTTTTTTTCTTTACCCTCTTGTAATCTGCATACGACTACTCCATGAATACACATGCAAATAATGCTGAAGTCTAGCCAATTAGATTTTTTGCTGAATCATTGAAAATCATTAAGAGAAAAAAAAGTTAAACATCTTTAAATTAATGATTTTTCCAACATGGAAGTAAGACTGCTTAAGTTAACATGGAGTTCAGCTCACATCTTAGACTCAAAGATTTCATAAGGGTGGATTGCATAAATGTGTGTATTGTTGAAGTTGTCAACCTGTTAGCTGAAATTTTAAGTTTAGCTTGAAGCCCTTCTCATTGGTAGTAACCTCCCATTTTCAATATGTAGGAAGGCCTTTTTTATTCATCTATGATGAGGTGACTAGCACTGTGGATGTGGGGAGACCAGTGGATGTGTTGTACCTTGATTTTTAGCAAGGCTTTTGATATAGTCTTCCACAGCTTGCCTGCAAGGATGTTAAGGAAGTAAGAGCTAGATGAATGGGACTATAAGGTATATAGAAAACTGGCTGGAGCATTAGGCTTGGAGAGTACTAATCAATGGCTCAATACATAGTTAGCAGCTGGTATCAAGTGGAGTGCCCCAAGGGACAGTCCTAGGGCTGGTTTTGTTCACTGTTTTCATCAAACATCTGGAAGATGGCATAGAGTACACCCTCAGCAAGCTTGCAGGTGTCACCAAGCTGGAAGGAGTAATAGATACCCTGGAGGATAGGGCTGGGATTCAGAGTGACCTGGACAAATTGGAAGATTGGGCCAGAAGGAATCTCATGAGGTTCAACAAGGACAAGTGTGAAGTCCTGACTTGTGCATGGGATTGTTCCGTCTTAAGGACAGGCTGGGGCCCGACTGGCTGGGCAGCAGCTCTGCAGAAAAGAACCTGGGTGTTACAGTGGACAATATGCTGAATGAGCCAGCAGTGTCTTTTTGTTGCAAAGAAGGCTAACGACATACTGGGCTGTGTTGGTAGGAATGGTTGCCAGCAGGTCAAAAGAAGTGTTATTCCCCTCTATTCAACACTGGTGAGGTCATGTCTGGAGTACTGTGTTCGGTTTGGGCCCCCCACTACAGAAAGGATGTGGACAAATGAGACGGCCCAGCAGAAGGCAACAAAAATGGTTCAGGGGCTAAGGCACATGACTTGTGAGGAGAGGCTGAGGGAACTGGGTTCTAGTTTAGTGAAGAGAAGATTGAGAAGGCATTTAATAGCAGCCTTCAGCTACCTGAAAGGAGATTTGAAAGAGGATGGGGCTAGACTGTTCTTACTAGGTGTGCACTGATTTAAAGATTTTTCTTGGCTGATACCAATCCCATAGCTGATTTCATAGGAATGCAGCCTGGCAACTTGGAGAGCAGAATCTTGCCAGTAAGTCTGTCGAAGGGAATGGGTGTAGGGGGATGGATTGAGGCTCCCCACAGTGAGGGAGGGAGTAGAGCAGGCGCTGCCCAGCCAGGCAGTGAATGCGACCACGGTGCGTGGGGCAGAGCTGTGGGTGGCTCCCTGCCACTACATGCACCCCAGGGGGAGGCATGGCAGGGCATGTGCCCCACGTGGATTTGTGTGTAGGGCAGAGGTGGACTACCTGCTGCAGGTTCAGGGCCAGGAGCTGCACCAGCCTTCTCCTGGTGGGGGTGCTGGGCTGGGACTGTGTGTTCAGAGCAGACTTAGCTGTGTGGGGTGGGTGGCAGTGCTAGGAGGGAGGGCTTTGGGGGGCTACGGGGAGCCTCCCCTAGTGCCACTGTGGCCCACCCCGTGCAGCTTAGTCTGCCCCGAGCACAGCCCGAGCCCAGCCCCACACTCCTGGAAGAGGCTGGTGCAACCCTTTTGTCCCGAGCCTGCATTGGGCAGCCAGCCTCTTCCCTGCAACATCTGGGGAAGGCACATGCCCCCGTTGGGGGGTGCATGCAGCAGCAGAGCCACCCACCCCCTGCCCACCTCCTTGTCTCACCCCCCCCTGCCGTGCCCCACAGTCACATAGACTGCCTTGGCTGGGCTGCCGCAGCCCCACTCCTTCCTTCACCAGGGGGCCTTGATCTGGTCCCCCATGCCCCTGCCCTTCCCAACGAATTCACCAGTTGCATACTGTTCTCCAAGCCACCAGACCTGCATTCCTGGCCACATGGATGCTGCGGCTGCACGCATGCATGCATGCAATGCTTATTGGTGACATCATTGGCAATCTGCTTGCTTTTTTTTTCCAATGTTAACTTTCCTGTTAGTGTCGATCTGATATGTGACCTGATACATCAGTGCACCTCTAGTTCTCAGTGGTGGCAGATGGCAGAACAAGGAGCAATGGTCTCAAGTTGCAGCAAGGCAAGTTTAAGTTAGTTAGCTATATTTAGAAGAACTTTCTCAATAGGAGGGTAGTAAAACAGTGGAACAGCAGATTACCCAGCGAGGTGGTAGAATCTCCATCCTTGGAAGTTTTTCAAGACCCAGCTAGACAAAGCTTTGGCTGGTATGATCTAGTTGGGGATGATCCCCCTTTTGAATAGGGGGTTGGACCAGATGACCTCCAGAAGGCCCTTCCAACCCTAATTTTGTATGATTCTGTGTTTTGTGTTTGTTTTTTTTTTTGTTTTTTTTTTTTTTTAATCGCTTCATGTCCACTTCTAAACAGAGGCTTCTTGTCATGTTTCCACTACAAGCAAAATAGGGAAAGTCATTGTTTACACCATTGAATAATATAACCAATATGGCCAGAGTAGTTCTATTTCCATCGCCAACAGCTTGGGTAGAACTTAATGACTGATATCCCTTAATGACAAAATGCAAGATTTGCATCTGAAGTGAATCTTAATTCTTAATATGCTGCTTCACTGAATTTCATGTAAATCTTTTAAGTAAAAAAAAAAAAAAAAAAAAGCATGTCATGCTAAATGTGTAATGTAACTTTACTTGGATTTGTTTGGCCAAATGCTTTTTAGTTTCATTATGTCAAATAAACTAATGTTTGCTTTGATCTACAGCAGGTCAAAACTGCACTCAAGTATTCTCTGGGATTTCTTGTGGTGTGCACAGTTCTTCTTTTAATTGGGTAAGTACAGACCTTTCTATGTATTGGAGACAGATAGATCAGATTATTATTGTTGGAAATAAATACTTAGTAATAAAAAATAATCAAAGTATTTTTGGCCTATACAACAATAAGCTTGGGTAGATAGAGCAGATGTTAATTCCTCCAAAGGACCTTTTTATACTATTCAGCTCTAAGAACATTAAGAATTCCTCAGTCTGTTAAATGTGAAACTATTTAGCTTGCTGTATCTTAATGCCTAAACTCCAAGGAACAGAGGTAAAGGTATAAATGCAGGTTTAACTTTACCTTACTTCTGATTGTAACTGAAGACACTCTTATGAGAGACTATACTTACTTTTAAGTTTACAGTTTAAAATAGATACCAACCCTAGTGTATATTAATTTCTAGTTTGTTTACTTTACTTTATAATTTTATGAATTAATGCCTTGATTCAGGAAATCATGCAAGTATTAAGGGTTAAAACTTAATGTTTTCCCAAGCAGGGATTCTTTTTCTTTGTACTGATATAATCATGTAGTCTTGGTTTATTTAATGTATGTACACATGTGAATTATGGCACTGGACTAGAAAAGGGCCAATGTAGTGCTCTTGTTTTAAAAAATGTGAGAAGGGGGCCTCACAGAGCTATAAACTGGTTAGGATCACCTCATTACCTGGGAAGTTACTGGAGTGTATTCCAGAGGATGCCATTTGCAAGCATTTAGAGGAGGAAAGGTGATCATAAGCTTGTCAAACATTTGATCTCCTTTTTTTACTGAAGTAACTACTTGGGTGGATGAAGGGAATGCTGTTGCTATAGTGTTTATCAACTTCAGCAAGGCTTTTGACAGGGTCCTGCATGACCGTCTCATAAACAAATTGGAGAAATGTGGGCTCGAAGAAAACATCTACTAGGTGGATAGGTAACTGGTTCAGTAGCTGCAAGTCAAAGGTAATTGTGAATAAGTGCATGTCAGAATGCGAGGAGGTTTCAAGTAGAGTCTTATAGAGGCCTGTCCTGGGCCTGTTGCTGTTTAACATGTTTCATTAATAATTTGGATGCTGGCATAGAAAGCTTCTTGAGCAAGTTTGCAGATGACCTAAAACTGACAAGGATTATACACATGTTGGATGATGTGAGTGCAATTCAGAAAGATCTCAACAGAATGGAAAGTTGGGCTAGAGATAACAGGATGAAGTTACATGAGAAAAAATTAAAAGGTGCTACATTTTGGGAGGAATAATCAAAAAACACAAATGCAAACTGGGGGACACCTGGCTGGATGACAGCACTGTGGAAAAGGGACTTGGGAGTCCTGGTAGGCCACAGACTCGGTATGAATCGTAGTGTGATGTAGCCACACGAGGCAAATGCGATTTTTTTTTTTTGGGATGCGTCAATAAAAGCATTAGACGCAAGATGCGGGAGGTGATAGTGCTTCTACTTGGCACTGGTTAAACCTCATGTAGAGCACTGGGTGCAGTTCTAGGCTCCACACTTAAAAAGATGTGGAAATGTTAGGGGAGATCCAGAGATGGGCAATGAAGATGATCAAGGATTTGGAAGGCAAGTTGTATGTGAGGGGGCCAAAGGAGCTAAGCATGTTCAGCTTGTGGAAAAGGTGCAGAGGGGACATGAGAGCAGTCTTCAAACACTTGAAGGGCTGCCACGAAGAAGAGGGAAAGGACCTTTTTTCTCTTGCTGCAGAAGATGATGTGGACCAATGGCTTGAAGTTGCAGCAAAATAAGTAGATTGGCTATCCAGAGAAACCTTTTCTCACATCTAGAACAGCGAGGCAATGGAATAAAACTGCTAGGGAAGCTGTAGACCCTCCATCATTGGAGGTATTCAAGAAGAGGCTGTGGATGACTTGGGCATACCTATATCTATATTTTAATTTCTCCGTGCCTTTGAGCTTTGCTGGTCATCCCTGCACCCTCCCCTTCCTCACCTCTCTCACTTATTTATTTTTTTTTTTAATTTTTTTTTTTCTGCTCCATGCCTTGATATTTAAGCCTTCCTCAAGAGTCATCCACCATTGGCTACAGTCAAGGCTGGGGATTTTGTCTGGGGTGTGCCAGTGCTCCTACTGGGCCCAAAGCGAGAGTTACCTGCCTAGCGTGTCTTGCTTGTCCACTCGGGGTCACTGATTGCCATATTTGGGGTCAGGAAGGAATTTTACTCCATCAGATTGGTATGCTATGGATTGTGGGGTGTTTTGCCTTCTGCAGTGGGGGTATGGCTCCTTTACTGGGGATCTCTTGAGCATATGTTGACATTTCATAACAGCAGGATGCTTGCTGCTGTGGTTCCCCCTGCTTTATCTGTGGTAAGTTATAGTGTTAATGTTTGTGTTGTCAGGGTTGACAGTCTTTTATATGGAGTTTTGACTATGGATTGTTTAAGTTAGTTTGGATACGGATTATCTTACTTTAGGAAGGGGACGGACTAGACCTCTGGAGGTCCCTTCCAGACCTACTTTTCTGTGACTCCCATGGTTCATATTAGGGGTCCACCAATTAAGATTTTCTTGGCTGATACAATAGCTGATTATTAACCAACCATATTGGCTGATGCTGATCCGATAACCAATTTACTTTTACAATGTAAGGCATTTGGCATTTTAAATTACTGACATTTAAATAAACTTTTTTGGGGGGGCACGCTCTCCAGGAGCCTCCTGCTTCACATGCATCAGCATCCCAACGCTTAAATGGTGATGAGGGTGCTTGAACTAAAAATTGTTGAATGAGCTTTAATTAAAGTGCTGCTGCCACCATTTTTAAGCATGGGGACACTAAGTGGAGCAGGACGAGGGTGGATGCAGGCTACCCACTGTGAGATTGGGTCTCTCTGCTCTGCTGCCTTTGCCCTGGGAGCCCCACACTGGCTGTAACTGTTGCTTGCTCGGCAGTGGGAGGCACAACTTGCTGCATCCTGAGAGGCAGCAGAGCAGAGACCCATGCCCACAGTGAGCAGCCCGCATCCACCCTATACACAAAACTGGGGGGGGCAGGGGCACATGCCTCCCCTGGGGGTGCACGCAGTGGTGGGGAGCTGCCTCCCATGTCCCCTGGACAAACTGCCTGTGGCTCCATCCCACTTTGGCTCTGGATCCTATGCACCACCCTGGCTGGGCGGTGCCCCCCAGCCCATGCCTCACTTCCTTCCTCATTGTGGGGGCTTCTGAAGCTTCCCCCTCACATGCCCCTTCTATTCATAGACTTACCTGCAGGGAGCTGCTCTCCGTGCTGCCTGACTATATTCCTGGCCACGTCCATTACAGCTGTGTGAAACAGCTGTGTTTTGATTTGGTTTCAGATTCAGCCGTTTTGGAGGAAGGGGATTCATTTTGGTGTTTTGGATCACTGTCCATTTTGGTGTTTTGTTTCAGCCGAATCTGTTATGAGGATTTGGGTCTGCCAAATCTTCAAATCTGTTTTGAACAGGCTGCAAGGGAAGCTTTGCACAGCCCTACCCACCCCGATGGGGCTTGGGGCCAGGGGCTGCAGGGTCCCAGTGGGGAGCAGGATGGGGCCATGGGTGGCTTGTTCAGGCGAGGGGAAGGGCCGCTGCTTCCTATGCAGGCAAGGAGACCCCCGCATGGATCTCTGATCCCTGTCATGCTGGGTCACAGGGCAGGGAAACAATGCAGAGCAGGGAGCAGATATCTGTGCCAGGGTTTCCTCCCCACTGCTGCCAACCCTGGGTTGCCCTGGAGACATGGGGCTGTGCAGGGCAGACGGTGGTGGGGAAGAAACCCTGGCACAGATTTCTGTTCCCTGTGGAGGCAGGGTGCGCGGCAGGGATTCCCCAGCTCTTCCTGGGGGGGCGCAGAGCCCCGGATCTCCATGCTGGGTTTCAGCAGGCTGGAGTCCATGACAGCACCTCAGTCTTCCTGGTATTCTGCCACTGGCCCCAGCCTGCGGTGGCAGCCTGCTGAAACCCCGTGCACAGATCAGGGGCCTGTGCCCCCTGTGAAGAGCTGGGGAAATGATCAGAGAGCTGGGGAATCGAACCAGGAGCTAGATATCAATGTTGGAGCAGTCCTTCATCCCCTCTTTCCCCTGCCGCCTCCTTAGTTTTTGCTCCTGGCAGCCCCAAGTGCAAGGCCCCTTGTAGGCTAGAACGCTGCCTGCCTGCAAGGTGAAACCTGCCGCTTCTTAAGGGAACCGAGGCACCCGGGGGCCATGGTCCCACAGGGAAGAAGGAACCCAGGTGTCCAAGGCCCTGGCCAGAAGGCAGAATTATTGGTAAACATTGGCTACAACGGCCTAAAAAAGCCAATAGCAAATTAATGCAATTTCCCTCTTTATTAGCACTGATCCAGTAGGCAACCAATATATTGCTGCGCCTCTTAGTTTATACTATGTTTGATTGGCATAAGTTCAGGCTGTATACATTATGCCAGTGAGGGAACATTTTTTTTTTTTTTAAATTATCCATTGAAAAGCAGGAATCAAAATCCTGCTTCTTTCATTTCTAGTAATTAGTTCAGACTTACTGAGGAGAATTGGCCATTAAAACATGAAAAACGAGATGTTTTTAAGGTGTGCTGAAAACCAGATTTTTAGTTCTGAGGTCTTGACAGATTCAGCAAATCCAGTAACTGTTGGAGACATGGCAAAATTCTCCCTATTTCTGCCCATGAATGTGATTTTTATTTAATTTTATTTGTGTGTGTATATTTCTTTTTTAATAACCCGGTATTCAGTTTTACTGAATACTATTTTGGAATACTATTGGTTATTCTGGTGGTAAGAAGATGACAAAAATTGGAAAGGATTCTCAAGCGTTTTTTTAGAAATTATTTGGAAATAGGAAAATTTCATCTTGAGACAAAGTTCAGCCCTTCAATTGTTAAGAGTAGTGGTTTTTGATGTGGAAATGCATAGTCTAGTAGTCATGGAGTGCTGATGTTTGTTTTATTAAAGTATAATATTGCAGCCTGAATTCTTTAAAGCTATTCAGATTTCAGATTAAAAAGAATTGTTATTGAGTGTAGTTAATTTTAG